CCGGAACACCTCCCTAGGAAGGCGCCCAGGAGGCATCCGAAACAGATGCCCGAGCCACCTCAGCTGGCTCCTCTCGATGTGGAGGAGCAGCGGTTCTACTCTGAGCTCCTCCCGGGTGACCGAGCTCCTCACCCTATCTCTAAGGGTGCGCCCAGCCACCCTGCGGAGAAAGCTCATTTCGGCCGCCTGTATCCAGGATCTTGCCCTTTCAGTCATGACCCAAAGTTCATGGCCTTAGGTGAGAGTCGGAACGTAGATTGACCAGTAAATCGAGAGCTTCGCCTTACAGCTCAGCTCCTTCTTCACCACGACGGACCGGTACATCGACCGCATTACTGCAGAAGCTGCACCGATCCGCCTGTCAATCTCCCGTTCCATCCTTCCCTCACTCGTGAACAAGACCTCAAAATACTTGAACTCCTCCACTTGAGGCAGGAACTCTCCACCAACCTGAAGGGAACAAGCCACCCTTTTCCGACTGAGAACCATAGCCTCGGACTTGGAGGTGCTGATTCTCATCCCAGCCGTTTCACACTCGGCTGCAAACCGCCCCAGTGCACGCTGGAGGTCCTGGTTTGATAGAGCCAACAGGACAATGTCGTCTGCAAAAAGCAGAGACGAGATCCTGTGGTCCTCAAACCAGACTCCCTCCGGCCCCTGGCTGCACCTAGAAATTCTGTCCATAAAAATAATGAACAGAACCGGTGACAAAGGGTAGCCCTGCTGGAGTCCAACATGCACTGGAAACAAGTCTGACTTACTGCTGGCGATGCGAACCAAGCTCCTGCTCTGGTCGTACAGGGACCAGACAACCCTTAGCAAAGGGCCCCGGACCCTGTACTCCCGGAGCACGCCCCACAGGGCGCTGCGAGGGACACGGTCGAATGCCTTCTCCAGATCCACAAAACACATGTGGACTGGTTGGGCAAACTTTTATATTTTCATCATAATTAACCAAGTAGTTAGGAGCAAGATGTCCATTAGGAGAAATGACTGACTATTGATTTGGTGCTTTCATTCAGACACTGCATATGTTTGTGTCTGTGCTAAAATCCACAGGATGCTCAGTAATCACTAGACATGTTGTAGTTTGCTCGTTCCAAGATTTTGAGTATTAACACTAAACACAATTTGACCAAGCACTGCCAGATTAATAATCATTACAGCTCTGAAACAAACACATTTTGCAGTACTACAGTTTCCTTCTTCTTTATATCTGTATTCTGTAGATGTTGCATAGCAACTACATTTCTAACACTGCAATTACTGGTAATTATTGGTACAAGGAGGCTACAGTCTGGCAATTTACAGAAAGATTAAAATGACCTCTCATTAAAAATGCATATGCTAGGAAACTGGTGTCCCTGCTACTGAATGGAGACTGAGAACATCAGGAAAATGAAGGAAGAGAAGCCAAATGTCTGCCTAGCACTGAGGTACAGTACAGCAGTTACACGGCCACTCGAGCAGATGCACGTGTCAGCTGTGTCATACTTTTACGGTATTTTTTGTGAGATTCAACCCCCTTTATTGTCACCATACAGAGGGAGGATCAAACATGTTCCTCTGTGTTACTGTAAGGGACTGCTCACTGCAGCAGAAGTAAACAAATAAATAGATGTAAAGATACAATTCAGGGGAGTCTTCAAACAGGAAGCTGCACTAATAAGGATCCAACCTGCGACCTCTCCTCTGCACTATATTTGTAATGGATCTGAGATGATATCAGCTGCTGCCCGCTCTGTAAAGTGCAGTGAACAAAGGCTTGATAAGACATTCTCAGAAAGCCAAAAGGACTTTTTACAATAACAGTTAGCAGTAACAACAATAATAAATACAATTAATAATTACAAGAGGTTAGGTTTTTCCTAATAGAGAGATGGCCACTGGGTATAATGTACAGCTCCACTCCATGGTTCAGAAAAATGCGTATGAATGTTGTCCATTACTTTCAGTGACTTCATTCAGTTAGCTATTTTCAATAATGTTTCTAACATGCTCACAGTTTTAGCCAATCAGCACTTACTATGGATTTGACAAAAATCAATAAGCATTATTATCACTCTGGCTTGGGTATCCAAGACCCTCATTATTAACCTGTGACTGAGGTCAGTGTTGCCATAAATAAAGCTCCGTGCATCCGTTTTCTATCCATTAGCCTTCCTTCTTTGGCTGAGAAATACAACAGTAGTTTGCTTCCGTAGCATGGGACAAAAATCATAATGGTCTCGGTAAGTATAATATGTTTCCATGCCCAACGAAACATTTCCTCACTATCAGAAAAACTAAACTGATTGTATATCAAGTATACATTCACCTAAAACTTAGCTAGATTTAGTTAACAGCTTTACAGTATAATGACAAAAATGTAATGGCAGTTTATGAATGTAGCCAATAAAACCAAGTAGAGTTAATGTACATTAGTTGGAATGTTTTACCTTTTATAATTACAGACCTCACCTTCTTTTGAAGAGATGTCAGGCTCAGGGGCAGGTCAAGTCCCAGACTGTGTCATGTTAAACCAATCTTATGCTGCTGATAAACAGAAATGCCGACAGCAGTTCCAAGATTTTTATGTATTTATCTTTACACACATATACTCTATGAAGTGTCAGTGTTTGTAGTCTCGTTTTCTTTTCTTTTCTCTCTCTACATTTTTCAAACTGGGTTTTTGTTAAAACAAATTCTGGATCGTTATCCATTAAAGATTTTATGTTCCCCATAAAAACTACAAGATGCCCTATGGACTCAGAGGTACCATTTCTTTGTCTTATAATGTCTGTCTGAAAATTGGATTGCTAATTTCCTGACATACAGTATATCGCTGCCTATTCAAGGCACTTCCACTCACATGGGGATCATCATTGCATCTCTGTCATTATAAGGCTCTAAATGTCCAGCAAGAATAAATCTTTTGAAAATATTTCCATTCCCCCATGCCTCGAGGTTAACACAGTGTCACTGTAATCACTGACAGACATTACAGTTTGTAGTAGCTGAAAAGAAGGATGAGTACTGAGGGGAAGCAGCACAGATACTGGTAATGATGTGCTCAATAACCAAAAACAGTTTCAGTAGACAAAAAAAAAGTGAAGATTTAATTATTGTCATTCGTCAGTCTGTAAATGCCTATGCCTAATCTATCACTTTTCCTATAATTTCTGTGTTCTGTTCTGTTGATTCAGTTCATGTTTCCTCAGCACAAGCACCAATTAGAGCTGCAGTGAAAAGTCATCCAGAAAGTTTACTATATAGCACTCTTATGTACATGTTGAAAAAGTCTTTCTCAGAGAAAAAGACAAACAGGCATTAAAAGACTGACTGCCGGTCGCTGTCTACAATTCTGCACTTGATTTGCCAATACCTGTCATGCAAATGAGGGGCTCAGCCATCTCTGGGGGTTCTGATTATGCTTGAAACCAAGAATACGAAGGAAGTGAATTTAAAAAAAGACAAGACATGGTGCTTTTCTTGGCAAATTAAAAATAGCTTGCCTGAAGTGACAGTAGACCTAAAGCACTCTCCTTTTCCCACTCTTCTAACATTTGTTTTCAATTCTACTGTCACTTTATTTTCTTGTTTTTCCTGGTGAATAAGCATATGCATATATTTGACAGAATGAAAATGCTGCAAATGTCTTTGATTCAATTTAGCTGAATAATCTGACTGGACAACTGCGCTGAGTGATTTGTTGAACAATATATAGGCGGTAAATAAAAGAAGTGTCAGGTTCTATACTAGAAATGTGTCAAATGCATTTCAGTCGGAGGCCATTTTGTTATTCATTTCTTTGTAGTTTCCTGACCATGACCTAAGGAAACTGAAACTCTAACTGGATTATTATATACAGTATCATGGTATGAAACTAAATCTCTCTAGTGCAGTTACTAATCAGTTTAAGATGTCAAGGAACAAAAAGTACCCCCAAAACCAGAGACCTCATTAGCCCGTAAACACTGTTGGCTGCAGTAATTGTTGAACTTAGAACATGGCTCTATAGCTTTATAATCCAAGAGGCATTTAGGGCTAAATAGCCCTAAATGCTGTCACATTTGGTTCAATGTGCTGGTCATGCACTGAGCATTTACTGTACTATATTCAGTATAACAGTAGATCAGTATTTTCTAAATTGACATAAGTATAACCTTCTTTGATGTCTTACTGAACAAGTTAGTACAGATAACCTTTTAACTGTAATAAACACAGAACTGGAAAAAGTTACTAATAAACTGTATTAATTATATTGTTCAGTGGATACCTATTTGAGTGCTTTTTCTTGCCAAAGACACCTCATCACCAAAATGGACACCATTTCCACCAATTCGTCTTCAAATCAATCATTTTAGCATCAAACGGTCGGCACTGGCACAGGTTCTCATGTGATGTGGCTTAGTTTATGAGCTCTACTTGTATTTATTTATAGGGAACAACTATCTTAAAACAGCATGCTAC